TAATAATGGAGAAGCATTATGGTAAATTTATATATTGAATTCATGAAAGCAAGGCTGTTCTGATAACAAATCCAATATTTATTTCATTAATTTATATACTGCTCCATTAGTGTGATGCAGTTAACAAAATAGAAGAGCCAAAGCATTGGTGTCATAGGTGAGAAGGCCCTGCTCCTAGTTGATTGTTTTCCTGGCCTCCTCCTGCATGGCCTCCTTGAGGAGCATTGCCTGGGTGGATCTATTGGCATGGGTGCATGATCTGGGGGAAAGGTTCTGCACCAAGTGCTGGGGTCCATGAAGGGTTTTGTAGGTGAGCACCAAGACCTTGAACTTGACCCATGACTTCACATGTAACCAGTACAGGCAATCTGGACTGCTGTAATGTAATCAAATTTGCTCACACGCAACTAGCCTGGCAGACATATTCTGAACTTGCTCCAGGTCAACTTCAAGGGAAGCCTCATATAGAGAGCGTTGATCCTGAAGATTAGTAGTGCATGCACCAACATCCTTGTCTATATATATATCAATTTCATTATATATTGTTGTAGGAAATATGGCTGTTTCCCTCATAAATTGATTGAATTAGAGTGTTCAGATTGTATATTTATCCTGAAGACAGTTGAGTTCTAAAGCACTATTTAATGGCACATATTTCAGCTGACAAAATGTTCTGTCTATTCTAAAATACTAAATTTTGATTTTCATTTTATTTTAGCTTGCAGTTATGTCGTATGCTTTCTGAAAATTCAACTTTTAGAGGTAAGGAGATGAGTTTGGATTTTACTTTGCTTAATCCCACACATGAATTACAATGTTATTAGAAGTAATGGTAAGAGATGGGAGTATTCGTATAAGAATATGAATATCCCTGTGCAGCTAGAGTTAACATATTCGTATTTGAATATGAATACCCCCATCTCTAGTAATTATCTCAGTTTTAGGTAGCAAGTAGTTTTGTGTGTGCCCAAGGGAACTTTGGAGGGCAGCTATTTCCAGCTGCATTTCCACCTATGTTTGAAGTAAATAAGATTGAAAATATTTTATCAAATTCTTGGAAGTGTTTTCCATAAGTAGATAAATTCCATGAAATAAATGTAGGTTCCTGGGCTTGATGGTAAGTATTCTAGACTAATTTTGGACTTCATCTTCATCTTAGACTACTGTTGTTAGGTAAAGAAGAATATTCTGTGCAGCATGTGTGAGTCATATTAGATCCCCATGGTTTTAGCCAGGAAGAGCTCAGGGCTCCCGAGAGGTTTATGTTTTGCAGTCGCAAAAGAGACTTCACTTTCAAATAAATACGTAGTGTGCCTAATTCATTTTCCTCCTGTTATATTGAGCAGGAAAGTATAATAGAGCAGATTATTTCTCCCATCACCAGAAGAGTGGAGAAATATTGACTGAGAATACTTATTGAGGCTGTTTACACTTACCTGGCAGTAAGCACCAAGAGTGTCATATATGATTATAGTGTTAAAATATATATACTGTAGTTAAATATTTGGGTTAGAGCTCTTGCATAATAAATAACCCAGTCCTGTGGGAGGTTCTCTTGAGCAAGTCCTGTCAAATCTGATCAGAGCAGTGTGAAAAAATGGTGCTCTGGTACCTATATGAGCCTCGTGGCGCAGTGGTTAAAACGCTGTACTGCAGCTAAAACTGTGCTCACGACCTGGGGTTCAAATCCCAGGTAGCCAGCTCAAGGTTGACTCAGCCTTCCATCCTTCCGAGATCGGTAAAATGAGTACCCAGCTTGCTGGGGGGGCAATGTGTAGCCTGTATAATTAAAAATTGTAAACCGCCCAGAGAGTGCTTGTAGCGCTATGGGGCGGTATATAAGTCTATGGTGCTCTGGTACTTATAAGGCAGTGATGGCGAACCTATGGCACGCATGCCAGAGTTGGCATGCAGAGCCCTTTCTGCGGGAACACGAGCCGTAAGTCGCCGGATCGCTACTCCCCCCCTCCCTGCGCAGCCAAACCCCAGAAGGCAGCTGCAGCTGTGGTGCTGGTGCTTTTGACAGGCATGTGGGCCAGGATCCGGAGAGCTGGCGCTGGTGGCGGATCTGGAGTGGGGTCTCGAGGCACCTCCATGCCTGCGATTCCCCCTTCTGCTGCTACCTCCAGTTCCACCGCCCTCTGGGTTTTTGTGGGTTTTTTCCCAGTTTGCGCACTCAGGCCCAAAAAGGTTTGTCGCCACTGCTATAAGGTGTCATTGGGCATAAGCTTTTCTGACTTCTTTCTACCACAGCTACAGTTCACCGGGAATTCCACCAACTAAAATTTTGGCAGCTGTTAGTCCTCAAAGGAGGTCCAGCACACGTGCTTGATGCCCAGCATTGTTTTCTTTGCAGCTATTGCAAAGCAAGAGTGTCTTTCTCTACATGGTGGTTGTCTAAAAACTACCAGTCCCACAATCTCTTGTACGTAGTTCCCATGGTGCTTAGCAGATCCCACCCACTTTATCCCAGTTGCCAAAGTTCTGGCTGGGAGAATTCTTGGTGAATTATGGTAGCCAGAGTAGGGGAAAATTCTGAAAATCCAGTGCCTGTGTATTGCATTTCATAAAAATGCACTGTTCAGACTCTATATGTAACTACTATTGGTTTCTGGGAATGGTGATGTATATTTTAGAAATAACTGGAAATACTGTTGAAATTTTGTAACTTCTGAAATTTTGTAATTCCTATGCAATGCATATCTTATAAATAACCTTTTAATGAGATTCAGCAATTAGATCATTTGGTGCAATTTTCCCACCCGTGTCTTACAGGTATCCAGCAGGCCTTGTATGAGCTTGCATATCATGTTATCAAGGGGAATCTAAAACATGATCAAGCTTCAAATGTTCTCAATGATATTATAGTAAGTATTTGTCTGAGGTTCCCTGTTAGGCATATTATTTTTCCTTTGCCTTTCTTGATGAGTCAGCTGGAAAGGGCTGTCTATGCCCCTTCAGCTGTTCAGAAGCTGCTTGTAATTTTAAAGAGAAAAAATAAAAAAGTTAAGAGGATGGTGTTCTGCCTTCATTCTTTCTCTGATGCACTGCCATAGGAGGTTTGAATGTTTGTCTGACTATTAACTGTAGTCTGACTATTAAATTGTGCTGGAGACTCCAGGGACTCTTTCAGATTCATATAATGTAATTGCAGCATTTTAGAACTGAGAACCAGAAAAAACTTCATTTGCTTATTATTAGACTGGCATGTCTTGTCTTTATTTAAATAGTCACTGCTCTTAGGCTAGATTTAAAAACAACAAAATGTCAAATTTCATGAAAGTTATGCACCTAGAAGTCCTATTGATGTTTGGCATATGATTAAGGTTCCCTGCTGAAGTCACTGGGACTTCAAGCGACTTAATTGAAACAATTTGTGCTAATTTCCTGAGAGCCATTGCAATCAATTGTGCTGGAGACTCCCAGATATGAATGGTCTCTTATTATTTTATATCTCTGTGATTTTATTCTGATTTTATTTGATTATATTTGTATTTTAAACAATTGTGACGGCTTTTAGCTAATACAATAAACTTGAACTCTAATTGAAACAATGATTTGTTCTAAATAATTTTTTAAAAAAAGTATATGAAAAGCTATTTCACTTTATGCTTTTAAATTGTATTTATGGTATTTATCTATTTATTTATAGAGATGCAAACAAGCCTTAAACAGACCATATTTTACAATAGCTTGTAGTTGGTGACTTCTAGATTATACTTCAGAAGCAGTTGACACTTCCGTTTGAATAAAAGCCCTATAATGCTTAATTGTGGCATTACTTTATTTTAACTGAGATTGTAAATCATAAAAAAGTACATTTTAAATGAACTATGTACTGACAAAGCCATATTGTTTTTCCCCTTCTATTTTAATAGGAATTTCGGGATGATATGCCCTCCATTCTAGCTGATGTGTTTTGCATATTAGGTAGGTTTTCTTTCCCCGTTTTTGTGTAACAGTTTCAATTTTTGTCTGTGGTGACATTGAACCATACAAGAGAGCTTAGTTATACAGAAATATTTTTGAAAGCTTGGAAGAGAACGTGACATCTTTCAAGAGTTAATTCAGCTGCTGAGTCCTAATGCCTGTATAGCCAAAATGGGGCTCTTTGGACACTCAAGTGACATATCTACATGCTCAGAAAATCTGTCAAAAACATAATGTCCTGCATTGCATGAATTGTTTGATATAAATAGACAGTCCATTGATTGAGCAATTGTTATAGTTTACTTTCACTGATGTTGGACTGTTTTTTCTTAATGATTTTTATACAATTTTTTCTTTTGGCTGGATGCTTCAATTATGCATAAACCTGTTCTGTAAATAAGAGAAATAATGGTATACCTGATGTACAATCCAACACATGTGTATTCAGAAATAAGTTCCGTTGGGTGAGTGAATATAAGATTGCAACCTGGGTTTCATGTTATTGTTAGTTACAGTTTTGAAACCTTAATGACTTTCCCAGCAAGTTGTAGGAGATTTATTTATTTATTATTTATTTTATTTTATTTGTACCCCACCTATCTGGCCTAATAGACCACTCTAGCATGTGCATCAAAAGTGAAGCAAGGTTTTATGTTACTTAATTGATTTGCAGATTCTTGCAGCTCTGTCATGTATGTAGAAAGTTATGTTGAAATGCAGCAAAGATAATACAGCGTGAAGTGTAGCATCAGAAAACATACACAACCTGTACTTATTTTCTCAGTTGGTCTCAAGTGATCATATGATACAATTGTTTTGTGAAATGAAAAAAATGCTGCTTTCTAAGAGAGAAGACACAGAAATTTGGTAAATGTTTCTGTGTTAAAAAATAATAATTTAGCTTCTGTTTTGTGGTTTTTGTTTTTGATAGATATTGAAACTAGTTGTTTAGAAGAAAAAAGTAAGAGAGATCAGTTTATGCAGTTGGTGTTAGCATGTTTGGTAAGTATTGCTCCTGCTTATTTTTGCTTTTAAACCTTTGAATCTGAGGGGGAGATGGAATGACAAAACGCATGAAATTAAATGTATTTAAGATAATTGCCCCTTATATTTTTTGTTAACTATTAATTGTGTATGTTTAACAGATTTATATTGGGATGGTTATTTATCATAAAATGGCAATAAACCTCCATGCCAAACTTGGGAACAATCCTTTTTTAAATTTCTTGTATAATGTTTGAAATGCACAGTGATTTCATGACTATCAGTTGTTTCTCATGTAGGTGGTAAAGCTGAGTTGGCTGGTAAAAGTACAGAAAAGTTTCAGATTCTTTGTTTTGCCTATTTTTCAGGGAGGATGATTTTTTATTTTTATTTTTTTTAAATAAAGGTGAGCTCTGTCCAATGTGCTCCCATTATCAGTCTGAAGTGGTACAGCCTAGATACAGGCTTATTGTTAAATACAAGTTCTTTGTTCCCACTATAATATAAAGGTCAGATGCTGCTAAAAATAATATATGTGTGGTTCTTTTTGTACCAGTACTTGGTTTCGGATACTATACTAAAAGAGCGTCTAGATCCTGATACGTTGGAATCATTAGGGCTTATCAAGCAGTCCCAACAGTTCAATCAGAAATCAGTGAAAATCAAGACAAAACTTTTGTAAGTAAAAATACATATTCTTTAAAACAAACACACACAGAAAACCCGCAGAGTGCTGTCCAAATGACAATCCCCTCTTCTGAATTTTAAAACCTCTGCCTCAGGGCTGAAAGACACAGATATGGAGGAGCTGGCAATTTCTTCTGTGGGTTGCACTATCCTGGAGTCTTGCAAACATTACTAGAGTATCTGGCGGGTGGCTTTGTGTGTTTGTATGTTTGAGTGTTAAGTGTGTGCATGCCCATCTGGCGATGACACCCCGTCCTTTCGATCATAGTCTTATGTATTTTCCTGAGCCAAAATATTTTCTAAATGCTTGTATTGCAGTTTTATGTGAAGGAGAAAAATCAGTGTTACTACTTGTAGGTAGATATGTTACTTTCTTTAATGTAAGTATTGCACTTTTTATGCGGTATCCATGTTAAATGCTATGGCCTAAATACAGTTGCTAATCCCAACTAGACCCATTGAATCAATTGCTGAATTGTAAGTCAGCACTTAAATAAATCTCTCTTTTATTGCATCCAGTCTATTTGGGGCTAGCAATTCATAATATCATACCTAAGCACCAGGTTTTTTTTGTCTGAGACATCACAAAATGTATATCCTTTAATGTTTAGCCATCTCAGAAATCAAGACCTATCTCAACATGTTGGATTATTCATTGTTATCCTTCTTTTTTGGTGTGCACATATGTGTATCTGTGCAGTTCTTAATCTACTATGTACATCTCTCTCTGCTTTGTAGCTAAGCACTTGAAACATTTAGATGCACAATCTAATAACCCCCTTCTTAGCCTTTTGTAACATCTCTTCGGGCTATATTTGTTTTTGTTTCCTTACTGTAGCTATAAACAACAGAAATTCAATTTATTAAGAGAAGAGAATGAAGGTTATGCAAAACTCATTGCTGAATTGGGACAAGATTTGTCTGGAAGTATCACTAGTGAACTTATTCTAGAAAATATCAAATCTTTAATAGGTAAGATGTGTATGCTAAGATGATGTTGTTGCATATTTTTTACAAGTAAAAGTATGTCTTATATTCATCTCTGAATTATATTTAATTAACAGAAAACTTGGTCAGAAAATGAAAAAGTTTTATTAGTTTGAATAGTTTTAGCTAATCAAAATACAAGCACTGTCTCCAGTATTTTATTTTGTTATAGTCCTATAATCTATAACTGATTTTGTATCAATATCCATGTTGCTTTAAAAGTTTTGAGCAGAGTGTGCTGGACTTTCGAAGATGTCTAATATGTTTCTGTTTATTAAACAGTATAAGACAGTAATTTTTAACAATGGAAACATGTTTTTTTTCTGTTGCCTCAGTCAGAGATAATTTTAATTGCTCTTTCTCTTTAATAGGATGTTTTAACCTAGATCCTAACAGAGTATTGGATATTATCTTAGAGGTCTATGAATGTAGGCCAGAATATGATGAATTCTTTGTACCTTTGATTGAATCCTACATGTACATGTGTGAACCTCAAACTCTTTGTCATATCCTTGGGTTTAAATTCAAGTTCTATCAGGTAATATAGTTAATTATTGCATAGAATTCCACTGTGACATTTCTTAAAAGTATTTATACTTTGTTCAATATGAATTATCAGCTTTTGTTTTCATCAGTATATAGACAGAATTGGTTATTGGCTTTTCATTTGAATGCATTTCAGTGGGGTTTTTACTTTCGTTTGACGACGATTCCGCTTAACAGTGATTTTTAACGGAATGCATTATCGTCATCAAGCGGGACACCACTGTAATGTCAGGAGAATTTAAGGTACATTATAGATTGCACAAATTTGTAAAAATAATAAAAAATTGTCTGTGGGAGTCATATTCCCAGACTATGAAACCTAGATACCCTAAAACTCAGCATGCATATTAAAGGAAACATGGACCTTGAATTTCTCTGCTTTGTACAGTTGGTTAATTAAGAGTAATATAGTCTAGCCGTCTGCCGGTATAAGACATTTCAGCTGAAACACATCTGGCAGATGGTCATCTGGTCTCTGTTTAAAAGCATGCAGTGTGGGAGAGTCTATCATCTTCTGATGTACTCTGTTTCCCTCTTTAATAGCAATAGCCACCAGAATTTTCCACTAATATTTAGTTGGAGTCTCCTTTCTGGTTAAATTGTTCAAGAAGTAATCCAGTGGTGTTTTTGGCTACACTATTGAAAATCTGATGGTATTTTTGGCTACACTGTTGTTACATTCTCCTTCTCATTGCTTTTCTGTTACTTTCCATTCCTTTTTTAAAAACTAAAAACAATCTTAGAGGCCAATTGAATGTTATGAAACTGGAAAAAAATTATATGAAAGTGTCTTTAAAAGGTGACTTGGAAAAATAAATTAGAATATTTTATATTAGTAATGTAGCTTTATTCCTGCTGATTAAGTAATTTTTGAAATACAACTGTTTGCACCTCTCTTTCCCTCAAATGCAACAGATTGTAGGTAACTTATGTTATTTCTAATGTGTTACCTTCAAATTGTGCCTCTAGGAGGATGAAGCAGTAAAATGCATTTTCAAGCGCCAGGAATGTACCGTTTCTCCGAAAATAAGATCTAACCTGAAAACCAGTAATGTACCGTTTCTCCGAAAATAAGACCTAACCTGAAAATAAGCCCTAGTATGATTTTTCAGGATGCTCGTAATATAAACCCTACCCCAAAAATAAGCCCTAGTTAAGTGAAAGCTCGCCCTCCACCTCTGTGCAGCAACCAGAAGATGACATGACTGTTTTTGACCAAATGTAGACTGTTGCATATGAAAAAAATAAAACATCCCCTGAAAATAAGCCCTACTGAATTTTTTTGGAGCAAAAGTTAATATAAGACCCTGTCTTATTTTCGGGGAAACACGGTACTTTATTAATTATTGAGCCATCATGCAAATTGTTATGATAAGATGCTTTTTCTGAGAAAAATCTCATTTAACCATGATTGAAGTCTCTCTAAATGCCCTTTCTGAAATCATACTTTTCTCTTTAGGAGCCAAATGGAGAGACACCGGTCTCTTTATATAGGGTTGCTGCAGTTCTTTTGCAGCATAACTTAATAGACCTGGAAGACCTTTATGTACATGTAAGTTATTAAATTCTCTTTAACTGCACATATGAATTGTTTTTCTTAAGGGGATTTCCCCATCTCCCACCCCACAAGTGATGAGACTTCAGTTTAACAACAATATCTTTATTTAACAGAACTAGAGGTTCTCCGCCACCACTTGAAATGGTTCATCTTCAGCCAGACACCTGATGGACCTTAAACAAACTGTCCCTTGTAACAGTAGTCTCTCTTAATAACAGGGGTGAGGGGTAGGGGTTCCAGCAACCTCTCCTTGTTGGTGGGGGTACAAAGGGCTTGGGGCCGGGCTGCGCACAGACGGGTATTTCTGGCTATCTCCCTGGTCTTTGGTGGACTCCGTCTCTTCCTCACCACCAATCCCAGCCACCCCGTCTGGGTTATTTCCCCTGAGGTCTGCACTCTTTCTTCCCTCTTGAGCCCCTTCTCTGTTCTCTCAACTCCCTCTCTCCCCAATAAGACGGCTTACATGGTGGCTGGTGTCTTCCCTGCCTTTCTGCTTCTTCCTTAGCTGTTCTCAGCTAAACTATCTCCTTTGTTCAGGGGTCTTCCTTTTCAGTGCACTCCCAGCCCTCCAGTAGCTCTCCGGTTCCTCTTGGGTCACTCCTTTTCCTTCCTCTCCTCCTCCTCCCTGCCCTCCTTCATCTGAACCCCTCTTGCTCTTTCCCTTTCCCTTTCTGCTTCTCCCTCTTTTTTTCTCCTTTGCACTGCTAGCTGTGATTCATGACTGATTGATAACTCCCTTCCTGGGCTTTCCTGAGCTTCTGGACTTTCTGCTTTGGGGGTGGTGGTGATTCTAGTTTCAAAGCCATCACTCCCGGCCTCTGTCAGGAAGCTGATGGTCCCATGACCCTCTACTTCTAGGGGATTGGGGATAGCAGACTAACAAGGAGGCTGGCTTCCCTGTCACTTTCCTCACACTTGACTTGTAAAAGCCAGTGTGAAATATGATGAGCGTTGAAGGGCTAGAGTTGCCTCAATATGTTGCCTCAGTGGCCCATAACACTCTCAGCAAGCTTAATAACTAGGAACAGTTTGTCATTTCATTCCAGCAAAACTGTGTTATCACTGGGTTAGAGAAGAGATGTATTTGCTGCTTTCTACAAAGTGTTACCTTTCAGATGATGAATCACAAATACGTTGTTTGAAGTCAGTTGAATGCATGCTGTTACATGATTTTGCTCTAGGGCAGGTAGAAGTGGTGCAAGAATAAATTACATGAGCTGGAATAGAAGGGCCCAAGAATCTCTAGACTTGTGCAAAAAAGCCTAGCTATATCCATGATTTTGAGATTAGTCTCAGGATTCGGGCGACCTGGATTCACATCCTTGCTTGGCTGTAGAACCTCCTCAGCGGGTGGGTGTAAAGATGCTCCACTTCTTCAGTATTTCAAGAGTTTGGCCACTGTATTCTCAAAGGCTTTCATGGCTGGGATCTGATGGTTGTTGTGGGTTTTTCGGGCTCTTTGGCCGTGTTCTGAAGGTCGTCGTTCCTAACGTTTTGCCAGTCTCTGTGGCCGGCATTTTCAGACGATAGGAATCAGAACTCTGTCTGTGCTCTGGTGCAGTTTGTTTGGATAGTTGAGTATTTATAGAGGAGATGGGTGATTGTGGTGATCAGTGTTTTTTTTTGGGGGGGGTGTATTGTGATAAGAGGGAGAGATTATCTGTCACTGTGCACTGTATACTCCTGCAGTGGTGAGGGGGTCCCTTTTGTCCTTTGCTTACCGTAAGATTTGTTGTATTTTTGTGGTGGGCCTGAAAGGTTTGTAGGTTGTGTTTTTTCAAAAGTTTGCCTAACGACACCCATCAATCATAGTGACAGATAATCTCTCCCTCTTATCACAACAATACAGTTTGGACACTGTTTCAGTTGTCATTTGTCAAAAGTGACTTGATAATACACATGATTTAAGCATCCGGGGGATCGAGGTTTTTTAAATGGAAGAATATTTAAAGATACATAAGGACAGGCTGGGGAAGGAAAGTTTACAAACCTGATCTGGTTGAAGCATTCTGGAACAGAAAAAATTATTCTGTATGTTAATGAATCCCAACTTGGTTCTGTAGCTCCTTCCAGCGGATAGTGCAATTCTTGAAGAACACAAGCGAGAAATTGGGGAAGCTAAACAAATTGTACGGAAACTTACAATGGTGGTATTGTCTTCTGAAAAGACAGAAGAGAAAGAAAAGGAAAAAGAGAAGGAAGAGGAAAAAACGGAAAAGGTAAATTCTAAGAATGTTTTAGAATTGTAAATCTAGGGAGCTTCTTGTCTGTGGGATTATTGATCTGATTATTTTAGGTCTGATTATCGGGCAGACTTTTGAGAGTGCCTGAACCCTTTGGCTGTAAACGATTGTGGTTAAATAGCTGCACAGTTCTGATGGCAACAAAAATCTATTTTGCCTAGAGATGGTGCTGATGAGATGCTCTGTAACTAATGCACAGCTGTTGTGCAGAGCTCCCAAGTTGCCAGCGGATGAAATGTGTACTCTGTAATCCAAACAAACTGCCCAAACTCAGTGTATGGGAATGTAATATATTGGGACAGCACCTCCCTTTTTTCAAGACCTCTCAGGCATGAGGAACCATTGCAAGGCTCTGTCCAGCCCACTGACCCCTTGGTGACAAGTTGCAATCCTCCTTTGTATTCTTTTCTTCAACAAACAGTTTCAGCCTTGGAAATATAGAGGAATGAGCGAGGAAGCAGGAGGAGTATGATAGTGTTCCTCTTTTCTTTTTGGTGTGGTATATTTTCCATTTGTTCTGTTATAAGAGCACATTTGTGCAGATTTAAATTATTAATTCATGTTGTTGACCACCTGTTTTTTATTTAATCTGGTGACAGTTCCTATACTTGACCTGTGAGTGTGGTAATAGGTATAATTATGATAGAACAGACAGGTCAGAGTGGAACTGTTCAGCTAATAAAAGCACATTTCCCTGCTTGCTTATTGTTGCAGCCACCCGATAATCAGAAACTTGGTTTATTAGAAGCAATGCTAAAGATTGGTGATTGGCAGCATGCACAAAGCATTATGGATCAGATGCCTCCATTTTATGCAACATCACACAAATCTATTGCGGTTGCTCTTTGCCAGCTTCTTCATGTGATGATCGAACCCCTTTATCGAAGGTAATGGTGCCCAAGTACTCAATAAACTGAGTAAATTACTCATTTACTTCATGTCTATCCCACATTTCTTCCAATAAAGGAACATAAGGCAGCATACCATTAAAAATACACGTATAAAATCACAACAAATTAAGGTGTTATCATTAAAATAGGATTAAACCAAAAGGATTTAAAACATGGTTGGTTTAAAAGGTTTAAACAAATAGTAAATTAATTGTGCATCATGTGCTTTTGAACTGCCTATGTGTATATATGACTTCTGTTGTTTGAAGTCTCTTTAGCTTTTGCTTCACCTGCTGATGGGTTGTGAAGTATTTATGAAAGTTATAAACTAAAAAAACAACTTACAAGGCTAAGGATCAGTGTTGCTGTGGGTTTTTTGTTTTGTTTTTGGAGTACTATTGTGGTATTTATGTGCATGTTGGTTGGTTTGAAGCCCAGCACAAACCTTTCTGTTCACTACACATATAAAGTTTAAAAACTGGAGAGGGGGTGTGATGCAGCAGGTTGATAGTCTCAAAACTAAATGACCAGGAGTTATCAACTTGTACTTGTTGAACGGCACTGAAAAAAATCATTGGCACTTACATGGATTTTCATTTGTTTCAAAAGTTGACTTTAGTTTCTTCTTCAAAATAATTTTTTTTAATATAGGCACCTTTTTGTATTAAAAACTAAGTGCATATGAATGGATGTTAAAGAAGATGAATTTGGGGAATGCCGGGCTGTCCTTCTCCATTGCTGCTAGGTGTTCATGTAAAAGACCTCTTAAAAGAAGGGAGTGTGGCAGGCCCCCTTAACCCTTCCGAACGAACACAGGCAAATTCAGTGACACTCTGCTGTTCAAAAGCCCTCGTATCCCACCCTCTAGAGAAGCTTTTATGAGGTGCAATAGGAGGCTAAAGACTTTAGTGAACATGTTTAAATTAGCCTCTTAAGGATCCAGGCCGGTTTCTCAATAGTTATATATCACCATCTATTTGTTCAGGCATTTCTGTATGAATCCCCCTGATGGGAATGGTTTGTACTGCATGTGGAGGACATATCAAAAAGTTCATGGAGTTGTAATTTCTAGGTGTAACGTGCCTTTAGAATAAAATACTTTTGACGTATTATGAAGTGTTCTGTGTAACCTGTATAAATTAATTTTTCTACTTAACAGAGTTGGAGTTCCCAAAGGTGCCAAAGGGACGCCAATCTCTCCTTTGCAGAACAAGAGAGCACCCAAACAAGTAGAGAGCTTTGAAGATTTGAGAAAGGAAGTCTTCAGCATGCTTTGTTACCTTGGCCCACATCTCTCCCACGACCCCATATTGTTTGCAAAAGTGGTGCGTCTTGGGAAAGCATTTATGAAGGAGGTTAGTAAGCTTATAGCAGTCAAGCAAGACATTTTAAGGAATGTTTCTGTGCCCTATAGAGGTAGATCAGGTGACTATTCAATATATTGTACCTCCACAGTTGGAGGCATTGGGATAAAAGCATCTGAAGATCTTTAGATAAGTACATTTAGGAGGACTCGGTCTCTACTCACAAGCTACAAAGGACATCAAGAGTAATGATCAATAATTTAAGCTGGGCCCTGAAACAGACTGGAAGCTAGTGAACAAGTCAGAACTCTAGCATAATGTATGTTTATCACCCAGGCTGCAAGTTAGCTGGCCTACAGCAATATTCTGAGCTAGTTGAACTTTCTGGACTGTTCTTGTAAGCAGTCCTGCATTTAACGGATTGCAGTCATCCAAAAAGGAGCTTTTTAGGATATGGATAAGTGGAACAAGAGGTTCTTTTTTACAGATTTGAAAAGAATGCCAAACCACAAAATCAGGATCGAACGTTTCTAATTGCGTTGTTCAAGAAAGCAGAAAAGAGATGAGGGAGGCCCTGAATCTGAAGTTCATTGTTCCTACTTTTTCCTGTAATACTGCAGAGTGGCTGAGTACTCTAGTATTTGCTTTCTTGAAGAAGATATTCCTTCCTGTGCTCCATAAAACAAACTTCTGTAAGGAGAAAAGTAGTGGATAATACGGGGTGTAGGATACATATATGTTGAATATTTGAATATAAATCTTCCTATCCACTCCTTCAGTTTTCAAGGCTCCATAGGGATCCATTTTGCCTCAGAGAAGGCTTCTATAAGGAGAAAAGTAGTGGATAATACATATATGTTGAATATCTGAATATAAATCTTCCTATCCCCTCCTTTAGTTTTCAAGGTTCCATAGGGATCCATTTTGCCTCAGAGAAGCCTTGTGTGTGTGTGGGTGCTTTAAAACTGGGAAATTGCTGGTGGTAGTCCTGATCGCACTGGTGCTGATTTTCTGATATTAATATCTCCCCTCCCTTCAAGGCTCCAAAAGAGGATTCTCTCTAGTGCAGAGGGATCCCTAGGAAGCCTCAAAACCTGAAGGTGGGAGGAGGTTCAGAAGTTGTAAGTTAAATTAAAATTAATAAAGGTTAATGTTGTCAGTGGCAACATCATCACCATTTATGCCTGGCAGAGTTGTGCAACAGGATTACAACAACAAAAACAGCAAAAGCAGGGGTTATGAATTATTGCTTACTTTATTCTTGCAAGCAAGGATGAAAACCTTGAAAAGTTTTTTTCCCCCCGATGAGTGAGCCTACAAGATTTTTTGTTCATTTTCTACATTCTGGTACTGTTTTAAGAAAACTGTGCTGAGGACTTTTTTGCATAGGAAACCTAGTATTTTGCACTGAAAATCCAGTTTTTGACAGCATATAAGGCATTTTTATAAAAAAAATGAATTACATGCAAGAAATTGGGTGTGTGCGGTTGTTGTAAAAAAAAAAGCTTTTTATTTTCGTCAGTGAAAAAATATTGCAACTTTTGACCATTATTCTTTTTTGGGTTTTCACCAAAGTTTGCAAATATTGGTTAAATTTTATGCACCATAAAAGGGTGTATTTTATTGCAAGTAGTTATTTGTACCCATAATGTTCAATAAATAAAGCTCCACTGTTGTTATTTTGCTATTGAAGGAGAAAATTATAACCTTCTTCATGTGGCAGAGTGCTCTATGTAATTTCTCTGTTAAATAGCTGACAAGAACTCATAATAGTTCCAGGCACTCTCGTGGGAATTTCAAGTTAAATATCTGTTAACTGTTGAGAATAAACACTTGTAAATCAGAGTTGAAATGTAACAGATCCTAACAAATAGCTAGGTGAGTATCTTCTGATACAGAAAAAAAGTGTGCTATATGTTTTGTAATCTTGCAGAAAACCTGTAGCATACTGTTAAGACCTGTGGTGTTTTCCACCCCAGTGATAGTAGATGCCTTAATTGCACATTTATTTCTTGGTGACAAAAGTCCTTTTGTACATTGTCCCAGTTTGAGCATGTTTCAGTTTTATGTGAACGAGCAGACATGAACCTCGGGCTTGGACCACTTTCTTCTGCATCACAAGCATGAGGAAGACCTTGAGAGCACCTGTGTTAAATAACCAGAATTTTCTTATTACTTCTGAACTGAAACTTTGGTTAATTCAAATGGTGGCCTGATTAAACAGAACATGATAATTAACCACAGTTCAATGCTAGCGTGTTTTAATTAATTCCAGGTTAAACTGAGGTGGACAAAGTACAGCCTAGGGATTTTATGAGGTCTTCCATGTGTTGTCCGCCAGGCAGAACCACATTTTTTTCCAAAGTTGATGGACCAAAGCATTTGGTCCTGCCAGGAATTGATTCTCCCATTGACAGGGAGAAGAAAGTTGCACTCTTCTTCCCCCTCCTCCCGAGGTAGTGTGCATTTAGTATCCTGTGGGAAGAAAGTATGCACAAAGGAGGCAGGTGCCGGCAAAGATAGCTTTGGGACCTGATCCTGTTAGATGATTGCCGCCACCACATGCAAAGCTTGCAGCAACGGTTGTGTGTGGAAGATTATATGGTGACAGTTGCTCTAGTGTCAGTTACAGATGGGCATGAACCACCAGTTTAGTTGTCAGTCCAACAGGTATTTTGTGGTTCTGAGCCCCACCTCCTCCAGCAGGTGCCCACTCAGACGCTGCGCCCAGAGTACCGTATGTGTGGCAGGGAAGCCAGGGTGCTGCCTCTGAGTGGGTGCAGGCTGGAGGAAGCAGGGCTCGGAACGACCAGACACCCCCGTTGGACTGATGGACTGGCACAAACTGCCGAACTGGCGATGCATGCCTGTCTCTAGTGCCAATGGTTATGTCCTTCTCATTTTTAAAAACAAGTGGTTCTTGATCTATCTACAGTAGTATTTAAGCAAAAAATGGGATATAACTCTGTTTGATAAATAACCAATAGCTTGCGTTCAATTTTGTCTTTGATCTGAAGTCATTATGTTTTTCTAAAAGTTCTTATTCCCCTTACCCCCAGTACCAGTCTGATGGAGGCAAACAAGATGATAAAGATAAAATGGTGAGCAATTTTAATATGTATTCTTGAAATAAATTGTTATACTTCTTTATAAAAAAGAAACATCATATATACAGTTATCTTGTGCAACTTAGTGATTTTACCATTTCCTTCTTCTAGTGGTGCCCTGGGACTGTGCAGCTTGCCCGAGGTTACATACGCTAGTTTTACTCACAGGAGGGACAGAGCAAAAATGAATTCCCAAACAGTCCTAGGGTGGCCCTAGAAAAAGGGAATGGTAAACCACTTCTGAATATTCTCTATCCGGAAAACCTTGAAAAAGGTTGCCATAAGTCAGAATTGACTCAATGGCACATCATCATCATCGTCATCGTCATCATCATCAATAATAATAATAATAACAACAATAACAATAACAACAACAACAACAATAACAATAATAATACCACCAAGTTCTACCCGTGTCACTCGCGCGAGTCAGGAGGTGAGGCTGAGGAGCCTAACGCCGAGGGAGGCCCGGAAAGAAGTTGTCTTTGTCTCCAAATGGCAATCTTTTTCTTCTTTCCTTCAGGAAGTATTATTCAGTTGCTTACTAAATATTACCGACCAGGTTTTACTTCCTTCTCTTTCCCTGATGGAGTGTAACGCATGTATGTCTGAAGAACTCTGGGGGATGTTTAAGACATTTCCATACCAGTACCGGTGAGTAATTATCCAGAAAAGGTTTATATTGAAAGTACAGTTTTTTTAAACAACAACAACAACAACATTATTATCACCACCTTTCTTTCTTTTTTTGGCGGGGGATCCTCTCACAGGTACCGTCTTTATGGTCAGTGGAAGAATGAAACTTACAATAGCCATCCCTTATTAGTGAAAGTTAAAGCGCAGACCATTGACAGAGCCAAATACATTATGAAGTAAGTTACATTGTTTGTTTCCTGTGAGGGAATGTCTGTGGAACTGTAGCTAATAAGCATCTTGAGAGGGGCATGGCTACACATCTGTACTCAGTAGTGTTTCCCATGTTCATCGGAGATTACTTCCAAATATTTGACATTAAAAAAAATCTGAAAAATGTCCTAAGAAAACTTTCTAAAATGTAATACTCAATATTTAACTTTTTTTAAGTATCAGAAGGCTAGAAACTATTGTTGGTCCCAAAGAGAGCAGACTCACTTGAATAAATAAGACTTGTTAAGTCAAAATGTGTGTAAGTGTTGATTCAATAGATTTATTTGAATTGAGACTGACAATTGATTTACGCCAAATTGCCCTCAACTCTGTCTGCGAGTTAAAAATGTATCATTATTTTAATTTTTGCCCTCTGTTTTTCAATAGAGGCAGATAGAAATCAAATGGGGAATATACCTGTTGCATGTGAATTGTTCTTAGGGAATTCCAGAACTCCAGTCTTTGCCTGTGTTAGCAGAAAAATACAGTGGTGCCTCGCAGGACAAATGCCTTGCAGGAAAAAACCACGCAAGACAAATGGTTTTGGCAATGGGGGTTGATAAATGCCTCGCAGGAAAAAAACACGCAAGACAGATGGTTTTGGCAATGGGAGTTGATGACTCATAAGACAAATGTTCCTATAGCCGTGCTTCGCAAGACAAATGTTTTCCGTTTTTTGTTCCTGCCTCATGTTTGCTGATTTTTAAATGTTTTTCTATGATGTTTAAAAAGTTAACATTTTTTGACGGAAATTTTTTAAATCATCTGCACAATATGTATGGCTTTAAAGAACACTTAATGAACCCTTTTTTAAAAAAAATGACTTTGTTCTGACTTTTTTTGCCCATAGGAACGCATTAATTAGCTTTCAATGCATTCCTATGGGAAAATGCGTTTCGCAAGACGAATTTTTCGCAAGACAACATTAACAGCGAAACGAATTAAATTCATCTTGTGAGGCACCACTGTAATTTAATCTGAAACTGACTACAGAGCTGTAAAGCTGCCGAAAAAGATAAACTAAGGTATGATGTTCTCTTCTAGGCGTTTGACCAAGGAAAATGTAAAGCCTTCTGGAAGACAAATTGGGAAACTAAGCCACAGCAACCCAACCATTTTATTTGACTATGTATGTGGCAAGCTAAGTATTCACTATATCTTTGCTATTGCATGACTCCTGTTGAATTGATCCATTTTAAAACAATAGGCTATATATTTTAAACTAGTAATGACTGCAAAGAACATTTTTATAACTTATAAAACTGAAGTTTAAAAACATTAGAATGCTACTATAGTGCAGCTTCCCGAGATGTGCAGATGGTTTCTTTCTTAGATTAGCAAACCACAGAAATAGTTTTTATAAGAATGTAAGGCTTCTAACAGTTTTATGCAGCTGGAAAACTTTGTTTTCACTTGGTCTTTTCAGATTTTGTCTCAGATACAGAAGTATGATAACTTAATAACTCCAGTTGTTGATTCATTGAAATACCTCACTTCATTAAACTATGATGTCTTGGCATGTATCCTTTATCAGGTTTTTAGAATTGCTGCTTGGCAACAAGTTATAAGTTACATTTTACTGCCCTCCCTCAATTCGTAGTTACCAGCATTACCCATCTTCCTGGATTTTGCTGTTTTTGGATCAATGTTCTAGGATTTCAATTTCTAGACACCAATTATGGCCCTTAACAGTTTGAATAAACCATTCAAACTGCATATGGTTTCTCTCCTATTTTAAGAGCAGGAAAGTTGTTTAATTGTTATAAGCCTCCCAGAGACCTTTGGGTAGAGTGGGTGGCATATAAGTTACATAAATAAATAAATAAATAGATAGATAGATAGATAGATAGATAGATAGATAGATAGATAGATAGATAGATAGATAGATAGTTTTTAAATATTTTTGTCTTGTCACTGTAATACAGTAATAATCACTTACTGAATATTGTAATTCAGACTCAACAAATCACTCACTGAATATTGTAATTCAGACTCAACAAATTGCTATTAGTTTACTCTTTAAATATAGCTAAACCTCCAAGATACATACTGCCCAAAATCCTGTTGCTTTGCATAGTAAACTGCACTAGAGTAGGTCTATTGATTCAGTGTGAATGTGTTGAGTCAGTTCCTCCATAAGTTCTATTGATTCAAACTCGCCTACTCTAATTGGGACTTACTTTAGCATAGTAGGTCACTTTTAATTAAACGAGCTTATGGAGAAGTTGAAAGTCCCCATTGATTTTGTGGACCTACTTTAGCATGATTTACTGTGCTAAGTAACAGGATTTTGGCCTCAGTCAGCTGTCTTGTCATAGAATAAGAAAAATGTGGCTTTTTGCTAGACCAGCCTTTTAAGTGTTTGTTATTGTTTTTGACTGGGAAGTACAAGATGTTCATGGAGGAGAAGAAAAGTGCTGTCATTTTGAGTTAGAACTGTATATGAGGAATTAATGAGTGAAGAAGAGTGAATCCTTGAGAATCACAAAGAGGCCATTCCTTCAAGTCTTCATATACTATAGTATAGTCCTTCATTCCGTAGACTATACTGTAGTATCAAGAGTGTCAGTTCAGCTTGCAAATGTATCGCAATTATTTGTTCACAATATTTGATGCTGTATATAATTGATTTTGATAACAAGAGTGAGTGAGATCTTGCTTAACCTAAGGAAAGATTGCATAATTGAAGCACTGGCTAATCCGGAGAAGGAGAGAATGAAACATGATGACACTACAATCTCCAGTTGGCTTCAAAGTCAGTATTTCCCTTTTCATTTTGTTTTGCAATTTAAGCTGTTGGTACCTCTTCATGTTTGTTCATTATGCAGTAATTGAAACACTAGTATATAACCTTTTCGTCTAAGTAAAACCCACCTGATACCCTAATGTTTATTAAAATCGGACACAATGCAGTCAGTGAGATAACTGCTGGATAGTTCAGTAGTTTAAGTTTCTGGCTGCAGAGCCAGAGGTTGGGAGTTTGATTCCCCACCGAGCCTCCTTAGCAGAAGCTAGACTTGATGATCCCTAGGGTCCCTTCCGGCTAGACTTGGTGATCCCTAGGGTCCTTTCCAGCTCTGCATTTCTACCACAATGCTGCTGATGAAACAAATGCATAAATATAAATGCAATATAATGTAAAATCAGTATAACTTTACCCTCCTTCTCAATAACGCTGGTAAATATTGATCTCCACAAGGACGGTCATATAATTCCAGGAGCCTAACCAAAAAAGAAAAAAAAAATAAGAAGAAGGAAGTGAAGTGTTCACATCTGGGGAAAAGGTGCCATAATGCTATTACTTATTTTTTTAAAAAAACATTTTGGATAATGAATTATTTCTCTTTTCCAATTTACTTCAGGTTTAGCTAGTTTCTGTGGTGCTGTTTTTCGAAAATATCCTATAGAACTGGCTGGTCTGCTTCAGTACGTAGCAAATCAACTAAAGGCTGGGAAAAGGCAAGTACAACATTGCTAATTTCAAACCACCACCACCACCCCCTGGTCTCATAGACACCCAGTTTTGCAGCTTTTAACACTGAACTGGTCAAACTGCTTTAATAAGGAACTTGTGGATAATGTGCTGCAGCAGCATTTAGCTTTGAGTATGCAGGGATTAAGGGCATATGAGAATGTACTTGGCTGGGTGCCTGCCTCCCAAGGCCGAACTGAGAATTCTGTATGCTCAGATCGATGTGCATCTCCTTGTAAAAGCCTGAGTGTACTGCTCAGTGGGGCAGTTTTCTTCCATGTTGTACAGTGTGACTGTAAATCCCATTTGGGGTTGCTGTTTGCAGGTGTTATCCTCCTGTTAGTTACTGCAGGCAGAACCTTGTTGCACATAAGCATGCCTGGCTTGGAGAGAAGTGTCTTGGGCTTTACATGAAAGAAATTTTAGAAAGCTCTTATTGTTGTTTCTTTAGATAGGCCTTAATATTTTTCCGCTGGGATCAGGAATGATGAGCTGCAAGTTTCTGTTGAGAACACCTATGATGGAGTGTTTTCTTGTTCTCGTTTTTTTTCCTATAGCTTTGACCTGCTTATTTTGAAAGAAGTGGTACAAAAAATGGCTGGAATAGAAATCACGGAAGAGATGACAATGGAGCAGCTAGAGGCCATGACTGGAGGAGAGCAGCTGAAAGCAGAGGTCTGTCTGGAGTTGGAAATAAAAGAGAAATATATGTGTGATAAATATAATAGTGATAGTTTGAGATGTATCACCTGCTGTGAAGTATTTTCTGGAAGTAGATGAATCATATATAAGCTCACCTGGGAAAGAAAAACTACCAGTAAAACAATGTAATAAAAATCTGGATCTGTGTACATGTGACTGCTGCATCTATCCATAACACGGATAGACTGCCCCTTAACCATGAATAAGATTGCTTGTCCTTGGGAGAAGTCAGTCAGTCAAGAGTGTTCTGCAAAACGGAGTATGCCTCTTCTTGGGCATACATTTTGCTTGTTGGCCGGAGCCATCCATAATTGTTGTCATCCTTAATAAGCATTTTTAGTTCAACAGAGTTCTGAAAACCCACTTCAAACCCAAATCTCAGTGCTTCTTAGCAGTAGACCTTGACTAGCATCAACAATAGTTATGTCTGGTATATCAGCATTAATCCTCCCAAAAGGCTGGGTAGGATTTCTGCTGTAGAAAGGATAGACTAAGGGATTTCACCTTCTGAGTCCTTTTCACTTCAGTAATTTTCATATATGTACCAATTCTTAGTGTCAGAAAGGACTCGAAATTAAGAATGTCTTCATTATGATCCATAAGAAAAGTCAAGCATGATGTTTGGTTCTGCAGGCTTTGAATGTGTTCTTGGTGCTGCTTTTGTTGACTGTCTTAGTTTGGGATTTGTTTGATCCTTTTAGTATTTGCATACTTAACTATTTTTAGCTTTAACTATTGTCTTTTAATGACGTAAGCCGCCTTGGGTCCTTCTTAAGGAGAAAGGTGGGGTAAAAATATTTTGAATGAATGAATGAATGAGGCGCCTTGGAGGGATATTTTGCTAAGTCAGTTAGGATTTAAGGTAGCTAAGATTCACTGGTATTGTGTTTGAATGATTAAATGGCAGCACAGTATTGCAAGAAGTGAGAGTGCTCCTTTTCCCCAAACTCAAATCTCTTTGATCTGCAAGAGTAACTGCCTAGGTTTTAGCAAGTTAGAGTTTGTTGTTGCATTGAAAAGGTGGGTTGTGCAGTTCAGGATTGCAAACTAAGATGTTATTCTAATTTAGATGACAACCATGAACCATAGTTTGCCAGCTCACATGTAATTTTTAAAAAATGCCTCATAATTCCAAATAGAAATGTGCAGATTTGTGTTTTTTGGGCTAAAACTCCCAAAATTTCCCAGGTAAGACTTCCAGTTCCAAGCATTGAAAGGAAACCAAGAGAAGGAAACATGCTAACCCAGGCATCTCGAAGGCTCGGTCTGATAGTGCAAGGCTTGGTGTTTCTTTACTTCTTAAAGCAAAGATTATCATCCAGTTTGATTATTTTAATTATCTTTTTCATGATCTCTTTGCTCAGGGTGGATATTTTGGCCAGATCAGGAACACTAAAAAATCATCTCAGAGACTAAAAGATGCACTTTTGGACCACGACCTTGCCCTTCCCCTGTGCCTTCTCATGGCTCAGCAGAGAAATGGTGTGATCTTCCAAGAAGGAGGAGAGAAACATTTGAAGTTAGTGGGAAAACTCTATGATCAGGTAAGGAGGAGAACAAAAGGAAAAGTCACCCACATTTCGTGCATCCTGTTTATACCATTTGGGCAAACAGCAGTGATTTGATCTCTTTTCTTGATTTTTGAAGTATTATGTATTAAAGTTTTTTTTTCTGCTATAAAAAGCCTTTGCTAATCCCTGTCCTTGTGTTTCCCATTCAGTGCCATGATACTTTGGTGCAGTTTGGTGGGTTTCTAGCCTCCAACTTAAGCACAGAGGATTATATTAAACGAGTGCCTTCCATTGATGTTCTCTGTAATGAGTTTCACACCCCTCACGATGCTGCATTTTTCCTTTCAAGACCTATGTATGCACACCATATTTCGGTAAGTACAAATATTCGGTTGACTCGCACTCTAAAGATGCAGTACAGACAATTTCACTGAAAAATTAAATCTGTCGTTCCACAAATCCTTTTAAGACTGCCTTGCTGAGTTTAGCAATATCTATTTTTTTCAGTGGCTGATGCCATTCATAGTTACTCTGACTAAATTCCTTGAGCTTTCGGATTTGTATCTAATACCGGTAGATTAAATAGGAAGGGATTTGGGGTTTTTTTGTGAGAAATGGATAATTAAATGCGTGCATGTGGTCTTTTTTCCTTTTTAAATCAGTCAAAATACGACGAACTGAAAAAAGCCGAGAAGGGGAACAAGCAGCAGCAAAAAGTTCACAAATACATTACATCCTGTGAGCTTGTGATGGCTCCTGTTCATGATGCAGTGATCTCCTTGCACCTCCCAAAGGTCTGGGATGATATCAGTCCACAGTTCTATGCTACATTCTGGTCACTGACCATGTATGACCTGGCTGTGCCACATAGCAGCTATGAACGAGAAGTCAATAAACTCAAAGTCCAGATGAAGGCTATTGATGACAATCAGGAAATGGTACGTGTTGCTCTTCAGCAAAGTTTGAATGTTCTAAATCAGTGGTTCTTAACCTGGGCGATGCCTCCTCCGGAGATGGAACAAAAAGGGGCGATGCGGGGGCGAAGAGGGGCAATATGGGGGCGATGGAGTGAGCCAAACCTGAGAAGGCAGCTGCAGCTGCGGTGCTGGCAGCGAATCCAGCAGGTGGAGCCAGAGCAGTTGGTGCTGGCAGCGGATCCGGTGCCGCTGCTGCGGAGAGGGGGGCGATGATAACTTCCTCAATGGCTCAAGGGGGTGTTTCTATCAAAAAGGTTAAGAACCACTCTTCTAAATGCTTATTTATTTCCTGAAGTTTTTTTTTTCTTTTTGTCTTTACAAACATATGGATTCACGAAACCCCTTGAGTGATACAGTGGTGCCTCGCAAGACGATTGCCTCGCGGGACTATTAATCTGCAAGACGATTTGTTTTTGCAATTGTTGCGCTTCGCAAGACGATGCTTTCCTATGGACGATTTTTGCAAGACGATAATTTTTCCCAATTGGAACGCATTAAATAGATTTCAGTGCATTCCAATGGGGAACCGCGTTCCGCAAGACGATGTTTTCTATGGACAATTTTCACAAGACAGTGATTTTTCCATTGGAACGCATTGAGTAGATTTCAGTGCATTCCAGTGGGGAACCGCGTTTCGCAAGACAGTGTTTTTCACAGAACGAATTAACATCATCTTGTGAGGCACCACTGTACAATGGTGGTGTCCAGTAATAGCTTTATAATATAAGAACGTGGCCTTTTATCAGTTTCAGTTACCATCATCTGGTGTCTGCCTGTCAAAATACTTCTTTGTGTCCCGAGGCCCTTCTCTGGGTCTCCCCACTAAAGATAGAATGGTTTCCAAAGACAGTGCCATTTCTGTTGTGGAGACAACTAAAATAGCTTTCCAAAGTTGGTGTTCCTAGCCCTGTTGCTTTTTTGGACGAGCTGTGGAAACTATTTTCATCCAGCAGGTTTTCCTGGGACACATTTTTTTAAATAAGGCCTGGCTGTTGTAGCTGCTTACGTAGCTTCTTTATTCATCTTTTTAGTAATTGCTTTCATGACTGTAAGTCATGATTAATTATGTATTTCTAAAATAAAAAAGAACTCCCAGTGTCATGTAGTGGATAGGGTGATAGACTAGAACTCTGGAGATCAGAGTTTAAATCTCCACTCGGCCATGGAAACTCACTGGAGTAGGGGTGGAACTGGCAAAACCACTCCTTAAATATCTCACTTGCCTTGAAAGCCCTAGTAAGGTCATTATAGGTTGGTTCCAAATTGATGGCACAAAACACATGCACACATACACAAAATAGAAAAGTAACATCTAAAAATCTTAGGAATGAATATATAACTAAAAATTTTGCTTTAACTTTTTATGAAATATTGAACTTGCTTTCAAAGGAACCCTAGAAGAATTAGCAGAAATAATGGTGTAATTACTGAGTAATGGCAGTAAATTACCGAGAATTTTCATGGGTTGTAAATGTTGGTCATCATCCAGTACAAAGTAATCCTGCTCACGTCCTAGTCATTCCTGGGGAATTGCCAACCAGTTGTTGAATTAGATAGTGTACTACCTAAACATTGGTTCTGATTTTTTTAAAAGACCGTGCAAACAAGGCAGCAGGTATCGTAATTCTGTCCGTTTTGTAAAGACCAAGCTTGTCTTTTCTCCAGCCTCCAAACAAAAAGAAAAAAGAGAAAGAGCGCTGCACGGCCCTTCAGGATAAGCTCCTTGAAGAGGAAAAGAAACAGTCGGAACATGTGCAAAGGGTGCTGCAAAGGCTGAAATTGGAAAAGGATAATTGGCTTCTTGCAAGTAAGTTGGATGGAGCTCTTCTGTGCTTCTCATAGTTGCATTGGTTCACCAATAAAACCTTGCTACTTTGCAACCAATGTGTTATTTTAAAATCATTATACATGACTGGCTTTGCTTTAACTGTGGTTAGGGGGTTGGTTGTGTGGCCTTTCCCTATACGTCCTCTCCTTCTCCTAGAAAAATTCCTTCATCCTACAGTATAAAAAGGAGAGTCCCTCTTAACCAGCTTTGATGGGGTGCCAGAAACAAGATTGAGTTAATGGAAGGAAACTGAGTTATCATGGAAAAATAGAATAATGCAGTTGGAAGGGGCCTATAAGACCACTGAATCGAACATCCTGTTCAGTGTAGGAATCCAAGTTTGAGTATTTCTGACAAATGTCTAACTTCCTCCTGAATGTCTCTAGCTTTGGAGTGCCCACCACCTTCCAAGGCAGTTGGTTCCATTCTCATACTGCTGTAACAATTAGGACATTTTTCTTGATGAAACCTGGCTTCCTGTTACTGGAACCTATTATTAAATGTCCTGTACTCTGGGTTGATTGAGAACAGAAGACTGTCTGGGCCCCAAAGAGCTTGAGTTTGCTTCCAGAGCTTCACAGCCATCTCTGGAGGCAAAAATGACAAAACTGAGGCTGTTGTACTTTGTGGAGATCGTGAGGGCACTAGTCTCTGGAAAAGACAATAATGCTGGGAAAGGTGGAAGGCAGTAGGAAAAGAGGAAGATCAAATACGAGATTGACTTCCTAACGGAAGCCACAGGATTGAGTCACAAGAGCTGAGCAAGGCTGTTGAGGACAGAACATTTTGGAAGTCACTCATTCATAGGGTCAGAGGCAACTTGACAGCATGGAACTACAACTCACAGAGCTGTAAAACCCCCAGTGGGTGATCTTGAGAGCTGCATTTACTGTCTTACTGCATGACTTAGTGTCAGCCTCAATAATCGGCCTCACAGAGTTGTTGGGAGGATAAGCAGGAATAAGCCTCATGTATTCTTTGTCCTTGAAGACGTTGGAGAAAGCACAGGATAAATATTTAATTGATTATAATTCATAATGGTATCCATGCGTCATGTGTCACTTAAGATTATTGGGAGCATGGGAAGGGGCTTCATTCAGACCTAACTATCTCAGTGTGAGTAAATCAAAGCTTTATGGGAGTTGGAGTAAGCTGTTGTATGGGCATTAAATCGCAATCTTACCTCTTCGTCGTTTCCTTTTCCCTAATACGAAACATACTTGAGACTTTCTGTGCTGTACTTGTTCATTGGATTAATTTCTGATTGATGATTAGATTTAACACATTGGTAACTCTGTTTGTTTGTCTGTTATCGTTTATTAGAGTCCACCAAAAATGAGACCATAACAAAATTTCTGCAGTTATGTATATTTCCTCGCTGTATTTTTTCTGCCATTGATGCTGTTTACTGTGCCCGGTTTGTGGAATTGGTGCATCAACAGAAAACACCAAATTTTTCCACACTTCTTTGCTATGACAGAGTAAGTAGTTCTGGGTTTTGTTGGTTTCTGAGTTTGTTCTGGTACTTTTAGAAGTAGTGATAGACTACTTCTGCTAAGGAAAGACAGTCTTGTCTTGTTTAGCTGTACGTTTTGTGGCACCTGAGAGACTAACAGGATTTTTTTTGCCAAAGCTTTGTGGATTACAGACTGAAGGAGTGTGAACTTAGTTAGCATATATACTGCAAATGTATACATATTTAGGGGAGATGAAGGAGTGTGAACTTAGCATACATACTGCAAATGTATACATATTTAGGGGAGGAGGGGGTATGAAATGGAAAAGGTACTGCCAAAGTAGTTGCTGTTCAGACAGTCATTTAACAATGACTAAGAATTAAGAGTTAACCTCTCAGCAAAGACAAGAGAGTAGAAATGCAGAGATCATGAGCCAGGTTACACAGGAAATAAAACTGCAAACATTTCCAGAAGAGTAGTCATACAAGAAGCAAAAGTTAGTACTAATACAGACAGACTTGCACTGAGGAGCTGGTAATAAAGTGACAAGAAACCTTTTGCCCCTCTTCAAGATCGGAACCCACTGTTTCCCTGTTCATTTATGTATTAAATTAATTTATTTTGTTTCTATGTCATCTTTCTTCCATAAGAGAACTCAAGGCAGCTTTCAATAATTAAAACTCAAATAAAGTTTAAAATATAATATTTTTTTCAATTAAAAATAATTACTGTAGTATAAAAATTGATCATCTAAAAAACAAACAAACCACCCCTGAATCTACAAAAATAGAACTTTTATTTTCAAGAATGGCAGCCTTGAGGTCAGAGACAGCTTGCCCTGAGGGACTGAAGAGTTTTCACCATTGGCTTTTCAATATTCCTGTTTCTGGTGTCAGTTGTGTGTCCATTTATTCTTTTGCATGGAAACTGACCTGTTCTACATAACATGCCAAAGGGTATTTATGCCAATGAATGTTAGTCATCAGGGTGTCACAAAGCAACCTGTGTTTTACTGCACAGTGCCCCCCCCACACACACACACCAGAATTTAGCAGTATGGTTATTCCAGAAGATGCAGTGGGTCTTTTCATCTTAACAGGAATCAAAATTGTAAAAAAAAAAAATCAGAGAAGGCTATAGTTGTGAGCCAAAAACTATGTATTCTGGATCGTAAAGGTATTTGATGACCTAACAGCTTTAAAAAGATAGGGAGTTAAGAAAGTAGCAGTTTTGTAAATTGCTATTGAAATAAGACAGGTAATTTTTCAGCATCACTTTCAATTTCCGATTATTCAGTCACCTTTAACTACTTAATTTTTGGGTCTTCTTGTGCCAGATTTTACGTTTGTTTCTAAATTCATCAATATATTGCTGGAATAAAAACTACATGAAGTGCTAAAAGTATGAAAATTGTGTTTCTTTCATAACACGTTTTATTACAAATCATCTTTTTAAAATGTCTTGCAGGTGTTCTCTGATATAATCTATACAGTTGCAAGCTGTACTGAAAATGAAGCTAGTCGATACGGCAGGTTCCTGTGCTGTATGCTAGATACTGTAACACGATGGCATAGCGATAGAGCCATTTATGAAAAGGTATGTAAAACCATCCTTGGCTGGATAGCTCAGATGTCCGGCTGTGGAGGCTGGGAGTTCAATTCGCCCCTGTGCATCCCAGGAAAAGAGCCAGCCCACGTGGCCTTGGGCAAGCTGCACAGTCCCAGGGTGACTCCAGAAGATGGGAATGATAAACAGCTTCCAAGTATTCTCTACCAGGAAAACCCTGGAAAGAATCGCCATAAGTCAGAAGTGATTTGACGGCATATGGTTATTCCTATTACGTAAAACCATCAAAGCAATAACTTGAACATGTTATGTATTTAGAGATACTAGAGAGAAGAATCAACGTTGCATGTTCTTTGTGAAGAAACAGTTGGGTTGACACAGATAGTAATAACTAGATGTGTTTACACTAAAAAATGATTCTTCTTCGACCAACTATCTGACACATCAGAGCTCTAGTGCAGACACATTGCAGTGGATTTCCCTCTTTTGCAATGAATGGAAAATTATATTCACACTATTTTGGAAATCCGATCCCATTTTGTAAATCAGTGTATGTGTCATGCACCTTGAGCTTGTTGAATATCTTAAAATGTTACTCTGTATCTGAGATTCAGCCTTGTAATCTCTTGTCTGTCTCTGTAGATCTCTTTATACGTTTCTTTCATCCTTAACTTGTTTCTTGAATGATCATGAAGGGTTTTGCTTTCTTCACATGCAGGAATGTGGCAACTATCCAGGTTTCCTTACTATCTTACGGGCAACTGGTTTTGATGGCGGGAACAAAGCGGACCAGTTAGATTATGAGAATTTTCGGCATGTAGTACACAAATGGCATTATAAATTAACGAAGGTAATCTAGTAAACATTGAGAAACTGAGGAGTTCTGTTTAGAGATGGGCACAAACCTCAGTTTGGAGGTTCATGCAGGTTTGGTGCTGTGCATTTCCTTCTGTCCCACCCACCCAGCTCCCCCACTCACCAGGTGCTGTGCGTTTCCTTCTGCCCCACCCACCCAGCTCCCCCACTTACTAGCTCGCATTTGCGGCTCTTTCCCTCCTCTTTACACAACTGTCCAGTTGCACCAGGAGTGTGTGCTTTCTTCCTCTGCCTCCTACGGCAGCTGCCCACGCAGACAAGGAGGCGAGGCAGGCATTCCGGCAGTGTTGCCTTTGAGTGGTGCTGTGCTGATGAACCAGCATGAACCTCCGAGGTTCGTGCCTGTCTCTAGTTCTGTTTGTTTTCCAGTAGTGATGATGAAAGCCTTCTGACTGAATGTTTCCCTATTCTTTCTAGGCGTCTGTACACTGCCTCGAAACGGGTGAATACACACACATCAGAAATATCCTGATTGTGCTGACTAAAATCCTGCCGTGGTATCCCAAAGTTGTAAATTTAGGCCAGGCCTTGGAACGAAGAGTCCATAAAATCTGCCAAGAGGAGAAAGAAAAGAGACCCGATTTATATGCATTAGCTATGGGGTAACAAAACTTTACTTTAAAAACAGTGGCCAAAAATTTACAGAAAGCATCACAAGTCTGAAATGTTGTTTTAGACTTGCTTTGACTTTTAGTTGATGTTGCTTGACCTTGACAAATGGCATATTTGTTATCCAGAGACTGGCTTTGGGAACTTATTGTAGGTTATTATGTTTATGAGGAAATCTCTTGGGCAAGCCCAGTTTAAGAACCAGTTTTAAAAAAAATCTTATGTAAGTTTGCATTTTATGTTTATGGCCAGTTTCTTTTGGCTAGTCTCAGCTAGAGAGTAGACCTGTTCAGTTATTTCCTGAATGAAAAGTCAGCAATTCTGTTAAACCCACCTAGTCAGTAGGCCTTCTGCCATTGGGGTTAGCAATAGGATATTGGCCTAGAGATTTGGAGGAATCAGTAGAGGTGATCAGGGTGAGGAAGCAATATGTCATTAAAAGATCAAAATTGATACAGATACTACTCTGTTTGAAAAAAGGAATTAGCGTACAAACCTCTCTTATGTATACATGTATTAATTATTTTATTTCAGATATTTGTACCCTTTAAAGAGTAATTTACAGAGATCGGCAATAAGATAATCACCCCCCTCAAGTTTTAAGTCTAAAAAAACTGATGCAAAAGGAATGTGGGTTGGCAGGGAGGAGGAAAAACTCAAACATGAATCTGCATGGTCAGTTTTAAAGTTCTTATGATGGCCAGCTACAATAGAAATAGTTCCAAAGAAGGACCAAGAATGTGTAAATCTTTCAGCAGATTTGATTGGCGTGGTGGGAGTCACCTTCCTTTGCTGCTCTATCTGTTGTAATGGCTGTTGTCAGGTGACATGCGATAGAGGAGCAATTTGCTGGAGCTTGCCTCTGAACCGCAAAGCCCTTGGAGTGGCCTTGCTTCCCGTTGTTGTCACTGCTGATGACTGCTGGAAAGAGGAGCCTAATGGAATCGGGCAGCGTACTTTCTCAGCAGGACAGGTAGCGGCCTCACGTTCTTGTTATCCTTTTCTGGATAGAACGGCCGCTGCCCTGCCATGTGTATGCTTTGTTTTGCACCCCAGACTTAAAAATACCAATCTCCCTTCTATGTTTCAAAAATATCTTCAAAAAATCTTAAAACCCAGCAGTGTATCTTATTACAGTGGTTTGCTTGATTATTCTTTAAGAACAGGGAAATAATAATCTTTTGGTAGCCAGAGGTGTTGAGGGTCATGGTTTCAGGTGGATCAAGGTGTTCAAAGACTTGAAGAGAGTTTTATGTGACGCTGCCAGTCAAATGTTTATACCTAACTTTGAGTGGGGATATTGTAAGGAGTGGAAGAGTCAAGCCACAAATTTGTTTTTCCAAGCAGCTGTCCGAGTTACTCTCTTGCTTGTTGGTTTATTTGTCTTGTGCCTGCTTAACACTTTGTGCGACTTTCAGCTACTCTGGACAGTTGAAAAGTAGAAAACATTGCATGGTCCCTGAAAATGATTTCCACCACAAGGATCCACCCACCAGGAATGCAGTACCTACTACAGTGCAGAACGGGCCGGGTGGAGCAGGGCTGCCTCCATCGCTCACAATCAATGCAGCTAAACTAGAAGAAAGCACTACTGAGGAGACAGGTACGGCCGCTGCAGAATATAAAACTATCCTGTTATATAGAAGAGGGCTGTTTTCATACTCACACATGCTTATGGATCTCTAGATAGGGTGGTCCATGCAAGCCGTCTTGGGAAGACACTAGGATTTAATGGTAGTTGCTTAGAATTAGTGGTTCTTAAGTGCTTCTGCAGGTCTCTCTTGAGCAGTAAAACAATATATTAATGGGAGTATTGTCTTTGTGAGTATTCACTTTCAGTCTTAGCACTGGAGGTTTTTTTTTCTATGTCCTTAAAACTTAAATATCATAAGAAAATATCTGTAAACATCAAATTCCTTTTGGTGGGCTTTTTGTTTCTGTCATAGTGGGGCACAAGGATAGAGTGACTGCTTGCTTTAGATGAATGACCAGCAGATGGCTTATGAATGGATTTGAGAATGGACGTCACCATCAAAGGCAGAAGTGAATTAATGTCATATGCAGCTTGCCATTCAAGCAGGACAAGGCACCTCCTCTGTGGCCGGGTGCCAAAGCATTTCCTTGCTCAGACCACAAGCCGATGTCCATTAATAGCAGTGGGTCATGCAAACCTATTCCTGACAAGAAGGAAAATACTCATTGGTGCTATAAATTTTACTGTGCACCCATTTCCAAAGGACCGTCTCAGGTCTGATGTTGTGACAGATTAACAAGGGTAGAGTCAGGCTGCAGTCTCGTACCCGCCGACCCACCCAAAACTGCTCTTGCACTCCGTGGCATGGATTTCTGGAGAAATAGTCCTAGGATCATGCTAGGAGTGTTCTTTGCTCTTTTTGCTCAGCATAACAGTGTGAATACATTTCCCAAGGTTATTTATTTCTGCACTCTAATTTTTCATTTTTGGAACGTAACCTCTTTACACCGTGATTTTTCTTTACGGACAGATAACAAATGACATTGCTCAGTAGATTTATTGGGATATTAAATAGAATGTAATTGATTTTGCAATCTTTGTATTCCTTTTATAAATGTTGCTATTAATTTTTCCCCCAGATAAATTAAAGGAGAAATCTCAGGGTGCTGTTAAAGTGATTAATAAAGCTGCCAATGCAACACCAAAGGTGACCACAAGCAACGGGAACAGTGCATCTAACAGGTGTGTGCTTGCCACTATCCTCTCTTGACCATGCAGAATTCCTCCCAGGTGCCAGTTAGAGTTGTGCAGATTTGATTTTTGGACCACTGCACCCAGAATTCTCCTGGCATTTGTAAGGGACTAACAGTGGCCAAAATCTTGTTACACAACTACAGGCGTGCAACTTGAGTCTATGCCTGTGGTGAGCACCGAGGCAGAAATACTATTCCAAAAGTGCTTCCATCCAGGCATTCACAATCAGTTCTACTGGGCACATACGGCCAGTTGTAGAGAGCAATTCTTTTTTTGCTGGGCATTAACACCAAGCACATTTATGGCAACGTAACTTCATATTATGTGAGCATGTGCAGGATGCTGGCTGTTGGATGGAATTTAAAACTGAAAGGATATAAAGCTCAGAGAGAAACAAATATAATTATTTTGCTATTCTCCACCTAGTTAGTAGAATAACATACCGTATTTTTCGCGCCATACCGTATTTTTCCCCACAAAATGGGGGTGGAAAGTCTGCGTCTTATGGAGCGAAGAAAACAGATTATATTTTCCTGTTTTCTTCTCCTAAAAATTTGGTGCGTCTTATGGAAAGGTGCGTCTTATGGAGTGAAAAATACAGTAATTAAACTTCATGTACCAGCAGGGCAGGTAGGGGAAAGCCTACAAGAAATCATGGCCTGATGAAGAGAATTACAGGTTTTTTTTTTCTTTTTGGCCTCCTATGATTCAACATACGAAGTTATGTCTCAGTATATGACCTCATTTCAGGCATTCTAGTGCTATGTTGGAAATGCAAAATCCTCTCTTATCAGTGCACATGACTTAACGTCGTGGTGCATACTGAGTTCCTTTTTAACTGCTGCAACAACAGCTAGAAAGTTTAGTTAGATGACTGGTGTTAAAAAAGTGCTGTCTCCTGAGTGGCATTCACTTCTTCTTGGGACGGGGGACACACACACACATGATGATGATGGGTTATGGGAGCCTTATGGGACTGGGAGCTGCAAAAAATAAAATGAATTGAGAGCTGCACTTGAACCTTCCCCGAGGAATCCACAGTTTAATATTACAGTTTCATTCTTTTAATTTAAATGCAGCAAAGTTATAAAAGAAAAAGAAGACAAAGAGAAATGCGGGAAGGAAAAAGAGAAGGAGAAAAAAGAGAAGACTCCAGCTGCCACTCCTGAGGCCAAAATACTTGGAAAGGATGGGAAAGAGAAACCAAAGGAAGAGCGGGCAAACAAAGAAGACAAGCTAAGAGATACTAAGGAGAAGACGCCTAAATCTGATAAAGAGAAAGAAAAAACCAAGAGAGAAGAGAAATCCTCGAAGGATGAAAAATCCAAGATTACTGTGACCAACACTGAGTCAAAATCAGCTGTAGAAAAGGAGAGAGAGAAAGAGCCATCCAGAGAAAGAGATGTAACCAAGGATGTGAAGTCCAAGGAAAACATTAGAGGAGGAGAGAAGACGCCCGTTGCTGGGTCCTTGAAGTCACCCGTTCCCCGATCGGAAACATCAGATTCTGAAAGGGGTAGGTTATTGATGCTTGTATGTTTCTTTAAAGGAGAACTGATAAGTGGACGAAAGGGAGAGTTTTCTAGGAACTTGTCTATATACCGTATTTTTCCATGTATAAGACTATACTTTTGTCTTAAATCTTTAGACTAAAAAATGAGGGTCGTCTTATACACGGAAGTAAGCTGAGGATAGAGAAAAACCAAGTGGAGGGGAAAGCAGGGATCAAAGTGATCCTGCAGGGCTTTGACCCCTGCTTTCCCCTCCACTTGCTAAACCCCACTTAGATTTCTTATTTTAGAAAAGTGGGGGGCATCTTATACATGGGGGCGTCTTATACATGGAAAAATACGGTAGTTTAAATGGCAACATTTACAGCTGCGTGAATTGTTTTCTTGGACTGCTGATTCAGAAAGTTGAAAAGCAGCTGAGTTTCTCGATGTGTATGGCATGAGTATCTGAATAACCATAAGCTTACAGCACTTGTGTGAATCAGCAGCCCTGAGAAGGCATGACTGCTGATTATAGTGAGTGCTAGAAACTGAATCAAAGGAAAATACTTACAGGCACCTACCTCTTCATGATGCTTAAAACCCTACACAGTTTCAGGCTGTGATGCCTAAATATTGGTTTGACGTTCTTAAAACACTGATGAATTGATCCATATCAATGTTCATTGCTTGATACCTAATTATTCCCCCTCCTCTCTCTCCCAGAACAAAAACGTCGCAAAGTTGATACCCATTCTTCTCCATCACATTCCTCAACAGTAAAGGTTAGTATAGCCTGAGGAAGGCAGAGCGCCCATTTTCAGGCTCTCATGTTTGGAATGCCAGTGTCCGACTTCCTTCAAGTTTTGTCCCGAGTGGAGCCATTGGAGGTTTCATATTGCATTAGAAAATGCATTCCTTTTCTTGGTTGGTGGACTCTTTTTTTTCACTTTGGAAAAAAAATATTTTTTTTAATTAGAAAAAGAAATACGTAAAAGCTTCAAGGACCTAGCACAAATGTTGTAAATAGAGTTTGGAATTGTCAAGAATTTTTTTTTTGAAAAAAAAAAAAAAACACACCAAAGTGCCTCACTGTTTTTAAACAGTCAGATATATATTTTTTGGAGTGCAGTGGTAGCTACAAGCAAACGAGTCTCTTGCCGCGAGCGGAGAGGAGCCTATTTTCCTGCATTGATCTTGAAGAATCTGTAGCACTGAAGAATTCCGGGAAGATTTTACGGGATATGCGATACCTCTGAATTCAATGAGCATCATGCCGCGGTGTGCCTTCCAAAGAGGAGCCTTGAAAAGGAGTTCCGTTTTAAAAAGTCTCCTTGCTGATCAGTTCTCCTGTAGTTGTGTATATTCAGTGAGCAGGCAGCTTCTGTTGCACCTTCCCTGCGAGGTTTGTTTATATTCCAGTGGGTTCCCACCCCGTTGAGCTCTGCGTTACGCTTAAACCAGATGCGGCAGCCAAAACCTTCCACCCAGCAAAAGAGAAAACCCCCAGCAGCCGAGTGCAGCACAAGCCCATGGCTGTAGCCTTCTTGAAGACTCAGGGTAGCAATTCCTTGCTCCATGTTTATGTTTTTGTTTCTAAACCATCTAAGCTCATGGAATCTTTGAATTTGCAGTACGTTGAAGCTTTAAAACTGTAAGTTACTGATACTTCATCCAAGCACTGGGATGGATTATGTGGGGATGTCATCGCCATGTTGCCAACATTTAAAAAGATTTTTCTGTGTCTTAAGAGGTTGGCTTAAGGGGTAGAACAGCTGGCTAGAGAAGTAAAATTGTTTGTCTTATTGATCACTGGGTTGCAGTCCTTCCTTGTGCCTGCTTGGAAGGATATTAGTGGGATTAGGTCTATGCAATTGTTTATTGCACAGAGACTATACTATTTATAACATGACATCCTCCTTACATTTAAGGGAGCAACGTGGCCATGAAGGGGCATGTCCTCTACACAGTTAAGATTAAGTGGGGGACATACATTCTTCTGTTGTGTAATTTCAGCCAGAAATGGAACTTTAAAAAAGTAGCTCGTGACGTAGGGTGGGTTTGTTGATCTTTTTTCTTAAAATAAGTAATAAGGGTTTTTAGGACAGATCTTTTGTTTGTACCTTATTTGTAGCCTAATTAGCTTAGACGTGTGTATATTTCTATTTGACAAGTATTAATCCTGGATTTATTCCCCAAAAGTGTAGCTGTTTTTTTGTCTCGAGGGTATGACTTCTGCTTTCCCAAGTTCCCGTGGTTTCTGACAACTGTTCGGGCTTATGTGTCATCTCCATTCATTTTCTACAGGACAACCTCAACGAACTCAAGGACTCTTCAGCAAAGGTTTGAACCTTTCAGTCACCCTCAGAAAATTAACAAGAGTAGCTTTTACAGTGACAGCTGGTTAGGTTGACATGGATTAGTGGTGCATATGTTAGAGTAGCAGGAGGCGCTGTAAGTTGCTTGTAAAAACTGGAGTGGAATAAATCACTAACTGCAGCAATAGGCTGCTGCCCTGTGTTGAATTTGGTATGTCCCCAGGTTTTAAATTGTGTTCCAGGTTATCTTGAAGTTCCTCCGAAGCTTATTGTGGAGAAGAGCAGTAATGGCAGATATGCTTCCCTGAAAGAATACTTACGATCCACTGCTGATCTCCTCTTGCAGTGTGCACCTAACATTTAACACAAGTGTTTTGCTCACCAGTTCCTGAAATCATAATGTTTGGAAAACGCAGTTGGAAGCTATAGTCTTTTGGGCACTTTCCAGACACACCTGGTGTGCTTCTATTCCCCAAATCTAACTACATGGGATTGTTGGTCTGACCAACCTTTTATTGGACATTGAGCTGCATAAATTGCATTTTTTTTTTTTTGCTTTCGTACTATATGAAGGTTGTTCCCCAAATCTAACTACATGGGACTGTTGGTCTGACCAACTTTTTCTTGGACATTGAGCTGCATAAATTGCAATTTTTTTTGCTTTCGTACTATATGAAGGTAATATCTTCCAAAACACTATTTTTGTGTGAAAAAAAGCAGTATTTGGGTTGTGTTCCAGATTGCTGCAGTTCTTTTTATTCTCTTATGGCCTGCTTGCCAGCCCTCTGTCAGAAATATGTCTTCTAGTTTTACGGGCTTCATGTGGGAAATAATTGTATATCTAAACCGGTTTTGTGGGTGAAAGGGTCTCCTCCAAATATTGTTGGACTACAACTCCTGCTAGCCTTAGTTAACATAACTAGTGGTGAGGAATGCTGGGAGTTACAGTTTTACAAAATCTGAAAGGCTACACTTTGTCCACCTCTGGTCTAAATGAATGTAGGCTCTGTTGTTTCTGGTGGCAGCAATTCCGTCCATGGGCACCAGCTGAAACTTCTGTACAGTCTTCAAGGAAAACCCTTCACGAGTTGACAACGGGCTAGAGTTTACAGGCATGCAATTATGTATTAGATAGGACTGCAGACCTGGCCACTGATCTAGTCTAAAAATGCTGGTATTGCTGGCTGGATCCAGGAGCACCTAAAAGCTGATAATTTGAAGCACCGTCCCCCTGCCAGTAAACACTACTTGTGTGGATACAATCCCACCTATATTCAGTCTATATTTAGCTACTGCATCTAAACTCTGGGCAAATACCAAGATTTCAGGAAATCTGGATCTACTGGGAAAGACACTGAGTTCTAGATGGTACATTTTGTTTTCTCTTCAGATTGCTTAATTCCAGATACTTTGATCAAGCAGCATCAGATAATATTTAAATAATTTATTAGTCCCCTAAAATGCAATAATGGCTGCTAGTCTGTATTATTGTAAGACAAGGGTGGCATCTTGTGACCACCTCCTTGCAGCTTGCATCCTCCCTTAGCATTGACTTGTGTTAGATGGGTGATGGAAGGTGTTTTCAGTGTGGGAGTTCACATCTGGTTAGGTCTCAAGAATGACAGTAATTAAAGTACATAAAAGTACTTCTTCATGGCCTCTATGTATGCATACAAATGGGTGCACCTGCACCTGCACAGATGATCTTACAGAATGTTCCAGAGCCTATGCCTTGTGTCTCTTCTCTGTAGTCTCTATGTACATGCTGCACACACTCCCTTTATGTCTGTTGCACTGCTTACATCCTCTCTATCACTCCGGAGGCTAAAGGAGTGGATATATTTTATAATGTCTTCTTAAAACTTATTTTTCTTTTATAGTTTCTTCTATTCTATAGCTAATAGCCTAGTTTTGTTTTGTTTAAAGACTTTAGTTATGTCAGCAAGCTCTCCTTTTCCCTTTCCCTTCTGCCTTAGATTCTAATGATTATTTCTCAACAGCTAATGGCCTCATTGGCCTTAGTTAAATTTTGTTCAGGCTGTGGGTCCAAAATACCTGATGGTCATGATAAATGCTTATTTTGAAGCCCATAAAGTTGCACCCTATTCAATTTGTAAAGGATTTACCAATACCAGGCAGTACCAGGCAGTCTGAAGACTGTCTCCAAATCCACTCACAAAATGCTGGGAAGAGCAAGGAAGCAGACAGGCACCCTCTTCACTGGCCAACGGTTAACCGAAAGTTCAAATTTCGTGCTTTCCCCGCCTCACACGTTTTCCGTTTCGTAACTCGAATCTAAGTTCGCAAGTCACGTGTTTTTTCCTGTTTTGTAACTCGAATCTAAGTTCGCAAGTCGAGTCCATATTTTCCTATGAGAGCGGTTCGTAACTCGAAATGTTCGTAACTAGGGCCATTCATAAGTTGAGGTTGACTGTATTATAAAACAAAGTATAATGGATCCAGCAGATAAAGATTCATTGCCAAAAAACTTAGACTGTTGCTTTAACAGAAACTAGCACTAAGCCAATAGCTGAGTGCATTCAAAATTATTACACTCAAAATCTAAGTCTGATTCCCAGGCTCAGAAAAGAAAGACTTCATCTGATATCAAATCAGAGGAGACCAACAATCTGATACATAATAAATTGGTTCAATATCAAATGGAGAGCTACATAGTCTATCTATTCAGTGCCTTCCTCTTTCACCACCAGAGCTCCCAGTGCTGAGGCACTTGTCTGATCCTGTGGGCTCATCATGAGAAACAGCAGCCTACAGAATACTCTTTTGAGATCAAACAGCCAGTCTCCGTCTTGGTATCAGACATATTCAAGTGGATCTGCAGCCCACCATGAAGGCCGCAGATCAAGATCTGTTTCCAAATCTTACAGATCACAACAGCATCAAGAACATCATAGATCAAGCTTGAGAACTTGTCAGCAATCTCCCTGGTTCAAATATTTTTCAAATTCATGGTCCCCTTTGACTGATTCTTGATATTGTGCTGGGCCATACTATGTTCCATTCCTCTGCTACTCCCATATCTTCACAGTAATATATATTGGCAGTCATCTAGATCTCATAGACAGAATACAGAGTGGTCAACTGACCAGATGGGCGGGAAATAAATAAATAAATAAATAAACAAACAAACAAACAAACAAACAAACAAACAAACACAGAGTTCTAACTCCTTGATATCAAGACTGATACAACCCTACCTATAGTAGACAATCCAGAATAAGGGCAAGATTGCATTCTCCACAATGAGAATATCTAAAGACAGTGGCTACTACTATTTCATAGTACCAAAGAAAGATAGTGATCTCCAACTAAATTTAGACCTCAGAGGAGTCAATAAGTATATAAAACCAAAAAAATTTCAATGGTAATACAAACAATTTTACCATTGTTGAAGCAAGGGCGTGTGTTTGCTGCAGTTGATTTAAAAGACACACATTTCCACATTTCCATGTGACAAAAGAATGTTTTCTACACTTCATCATAAAAAAGCAGATATACCAGTTCAAAGTACTTCCGTTTGGCCAGTCAGCGGCCTCGAGAAAGTTAACAAAGTGCATGGCACCATTGGTAGCTTATTTGAGAATGACAAGCATCAAGATACTTCCCTGTTTGAATTATTAGCTCCTAAGGCAAGCAACCAAAATTTGCATGAAAGCAATCTCAGTTTTAAATTTTTGAATCCTGTTGTGTCTTGGCCTAAAATCAACACTAAAGAAATCTCAATTAGTTCCATGTCAGATAATGCACTGTATAGGAGCAGTTCTCGATTTAATTACTGCAAGGACATACTTATCAGAAGACACGCTAAACAGCATAATATACAGTGCAAGGCAAATGTATCCCTTCATAATGACAACAGTTTAGTAAATTCAGCAATTACTGGGTCTGATGGCATCAACAACAGCTGTAGTCCGCCATGGCGGACTTTGAATGAAACCTTTACAGGCATATTACCATCTAGGTTACAATGAAAAGAGAAATTCTCTCTTCAAAGGAGTTATCTCATTTCAGCATTTCAAAACAAAACAAAACAACAACTGCTTTGGTGGACGGAAAAGCAACATCTTCATATGGCAATACCTTTCAAAGAGTTCAACCAACAGTAAGGATAGTGACGGATGCCAGCAAAACAGGTTAGGGAGCTCATTGTCTTGACAAACAGATTCAGGCCACATGTTCTGTATTTGAGAGCATTCACCAGATCAGTTTTCTAGAACTACTTGCAGTATTTTAAATAAATAATAAATAAAAAATCATTTGAAAATATGATAATAGAAAAAGTGGCACAGATTGCAGTGGACAACACAGTGTTAATGTATTATATCAACAAACAAGAAGGGACAAGACAGTTAAGCCTATTTTAATTAACAATATTAATTTGGGAATGATGCACTATGAAACAGCTATCTCCAGTACCAATAAATGTCAAAGAGGAGAAGAATCAACAAGCAGATATTCTGAATTGAACCTTCACACAGACACATGAATGGGGACTATCACCACAAGTATTCCAAATGCTAAGAGACATGGGGAGAACCAAGAATATATGTATTCACTTCCAACAGCAACAAGAAATGCTTGAAGTACTGCTTGTGGGTAGGCACAGGAAAGCACTCCATGAGCACTGGCATTCTATTTGTCAAATACTAAAGAATTTGGGAGAAAAAAAACATCTTGTTTATTTGTTTGAGTACAGGATGAGTACAGACAAGTAGCAAGGGATGGCATTAGGAGGGAAAAAGCTGAGAATGAGCTGAGTTTAGCTGGAGACACTAAAAGCAATAAAAAGCATTCCTCAGGTAGCAAAAGACAAACAAAAGACATAGTGGCACAACTCCACAATGGAGATGGGAAAATGATAACAGAGGACAAAGGAACGGCAGAGGTGCTCAATTCCTATTTTAGTTCGAAGGGCAGAGGTGCTCAGTTCCTATTTTAGTTCCATCTTTTCCCACAAGACAGACTGTGAACTTCCAAACAAATTGGAAGTGCAAGTGGGGATTGCAGTTGGAATTAGATAAACAAATGCAGTAGTCAAGAAATAACTTACCACCTTGAACGAGTTCAAATGGACAGGATTGGAGCTGGAGATTGATAAACAAATAGTCAAGGAATAACTTACCACCTTGAACAAGTACAGATCTCCAGGGTCGGATGAACTGCATCCAAGAGTATTGAAGAAATTGGCTGAATAACTCTCAGAACCGCTCTCCATTATTTTCTTGAAATCATGGGAAATGGCTGAGGTGCCAGTATTGTCCCTATCTTCAAAAAGGGCAAAAGGAAAAAAAAGAGGAACCTGGAAACTACAGGCCAGTCAGCCTGACATCAATTCCAAGCAAAATTCTGGAACAGATCATCATAAAGTGGTCATCGTGCAGGGGCTCAAAAACAAGCTTTTATCTAGCAAGTCAATTTTGTCATCTCTTGGTGTGATGCCCACCACCAATAATAACAACTTGCTAGTCATCCATTGGTGTGTATACATAGCAATCACAAAGAAGGTTACCCACTTGTGACTGTGGTTCTTTGAGTGGTCTTCTATGTATTCACACAACCTGCCTCCTCGCTGCATCCCACCATTAGTGATGAAATTTGGGAGTGGACAGACCTAGGGGAGTGAGCGGAGCATGCACATATAGGCTGCAGAGAACAGATGTGAAGCTTAAACTCTGGAAGAATTGTATTCAGCCATTTGTGTGAATACATAGAAGACCACTCAAATAAAGAGTTATATCTGGGTAAACTGTCCTATTTAAATACACGGGGGGGGGGTTCTCTTTCTTTTAAAAATGTCTTTAAATTTCTTTTCCCAACCAACTTAATAAATGAATTTGTCATTACTCCAAATGGCATTTTATTATCATCAGGTAATTGAAAACCTATAGGCATTAGAAGGTTGAAAATGTTCTTTAACTGTGCATCAATGGCTACTAGTCAAGTTGGGCATATACTATCCTCTGTATCAGAGGCAGTGTGTCTCTTCATATCAGTTATTGGAGAACATGAGACAGAGGGTGCCATTGTGTTTATTTTCCCAATTGGCTACAGTGCAAACAGAATACAGGACTAAACTGGCCTTTGGTCTTATCCAGCATGGCTCTTCTTGTGTTCTTATGGAAAGGAATAAAAAAGTTGGTGAAAAGGCACTTTTTATAAACAGACACACGGATAGTTTTCTCAGTTTTAACAGACAGATAATCACCCCGACAAAAGAAGACTAGACAGTATAATAGCCAAATGAAATAGATGATTGATTTTCAAAAGAGAAAATGGATTGCAAATTATGCAGAATGCAGCCTATAGCCTGAACAGGCAGCTGATATACAATAGAAATTATGCACCTTAGGTTTGTGTTGCTTCCAAAAGAGCTTCACTTTTTTAAAAGCCTCCAACATTTGCAAAAATATATGTACTGGAATTGTGTAGATGAGACTTTTCTAAATGATTTTTGAAAGTTACATATGCAAAAAAATAGTAAAGATAATCCAAGCTGAATAATGTCATAAGATACTCTTCAGTTTTCTGTTCCTTTTAAAAAGATCTTTAGCTCTTCTAAAAAGCATATAGAAAGCAGAGTCAGTATGCTTTTTAAAATTATTTAATAGTAATAGTGATTTAATAAGTAATAGTGCATTTAGCAAAACTTCATATTGGCAGCCTGTTTGAATATCAGGTTTGCCTGTTTTCCTTACCTGATAGAGTTATTAATTGGATTCAGGATACCTTTGTGTCAGTAACACATAATACTGTTTTACTGTATATTTATGCCAAGCAGTTCTTGCATCTTTGTAGTTTGAGATATTTTAGTTTTCAGAATACTCTATTAAGAATAGCTGAGGGACCATCAGCAATAATATTTCAGAATGTTGATGCAAGAGACTGTTATTGTAACTTAGGGGGCTCTACAAAGATGCATTAACTCTTGGTAATGTTCCCTTGATTTAACAGCACTACATTAACCACTCTACTCCAACACTGTCCAAGAGTAAGGAGAGAGAAGTGGAGAAGAAAGATCTGGACAAGTCAAGAGAAAGATCCAGAGAAAGAGAGAAGAAGGATGAAAAGGAAAGGAAAGATCGAAAAAGGGTTTGTTATCTGTACATAATAGCTTAAATATAGAGTTATTGAATTATGATCCCAAATCTCTCTAGACAAATCTCTGCTTCTCATTTTGATGATGACAAAACACGGAGCCTTTTCCAAGCATCTATGATGCAAACAGGCACCTCAAAGACAGAGGCAACTAGTTCCTTTCAGTTGTTTTAAAGCAGGATATGTCTTCTCATCCCCTACCCCGTTATGGGTGAACTTTTTGTAGAGTGCTGCCTCGCGAGACGATGTTAATTTGTTCCGTGAAAAATGTCGTCTTGTGAAAACATCGTCTTGCGAAATGCGGTTCCCCATTGGAATGCATTGAAATCTATTTAATGCGTTCCATTGGGGAAAAATCGTCTTGTGAAAATCGTCTATAGAAAACATTGTCTTGCAAGGCACCACAGTGATCACAAAAACCAATCGTCTTGCGGATTAATCGTCCTGCGAGGCAATCGTCTTGCGAGGCACCACTGTATTTTGTAAATCTCTTTTTGTTAAATGTACTAATGTGGTTTCTGTCTAGGATCATTCAAATAGTGACCGCGAAGTGCCCCAGGATTCAACTAAACGTCGGAAAGAGGAAAATGGAACAAGTATGTTCTCTTCCGTATTATTTCTTCTGGATAATGCTTATCTAGTTTCACAAAAGAACTCATTTATGTCATTTTTCTTTTTTCTCAGCTGGTTCCTCAAAACATAGTAAGAGTGAAAGTCCTTCTGATTCTCCTCGCTCTAGTGAAAAGGAGAAGGAAAAAAATAAATCCAAAACATCAAGCAAAGAAAAAGGAGATTCAATCAAAGTGGAAAAGATGGAGAAAAGCTCATCTGGGAGCAAAAAGGCAAGGCCAACGATTGTCCCATTTACTGGCTGAGACCCTTTTGCTTTAGTGTAAGAATTTGCACCTAGAATAGGCTGATTGAATCAGTGAAACTTATGAAGGAGTTGACTCACCACCTCCCTACCGATTCGGTGGGACTAGTCTGGTTACATCTTGCTACATTAACTAACAGGATTTCAGCTAGTGATTTCTAGCAAAATGCTTTTTTGTTCTTGATTAAGAGATTCATAGTACATTTGATATCATATAAAGTTTGTATTTCCTTATGAGATACACAGAGAGAGAAATGTGTTAGTGTGTATACAGAATCTTAATTTATGTACTTCAGGAGAAATTTGCTTCAGGAAGAGTAAATAAACCTCCTTAATTTTTGGAATAAGTTGGCATTTGACTTTTCTGTGAAAAAAGAACCAACTTTTTTTCTCCTTTTTTTCACTCATTACTTCTTAGGAGTCCAGACATGATAAAGAGAAAACAGAGAAAAAAGAAAAACGAGACAGTACCGGGGGGAAAGAAGAAAAAAAACAATATCCTTTCACTGTGTCACTCTTGGCAATGTGCAGTTATTTTTCTAGGAACGTTTCTTTCCAAAAGTATTTCCCTTAATCTTTGATCTACTCATAAATCTTCAGACAAGCACAGATAATGAACACTGTTCTGACCAAGGTAAGAATAATTTTCCAGTGTTCCTTTTTCATTGGAGGTGGGGGTAAGATGCTTATAAAATTGTTCTTGCTGAGAACTGCTGCTGCTTTGAAGCAGTTGCCATGTTCTTCTGAGGAGAAAGACATATTTACATTCACCTAAGTAGGCAGGAACTGAGGACCCATATTTTTTTCTGCAGCGACTGACTCCCTCTAGGTGAGAGGGCAACCTAGTTTTAGTTCCTGTCTTCGCCCCTCTTTTGGATATTTGTAGAGCAGCTGTTTGGAAGACTCTTCCTTCACCGGGCATTACAGACTGGACTTAGTTTTTTTCACAGTAGTAGATCTTACCCTTCTGTGTTACTTTGGAGTCTTTGAACCGGCAGCATCTATAACCTTTGAACTGCAGAGCTGGAAGGGATCCTATAGATCATCAGGTCGAGCCCCTCTCGAGGCTCAGTGGGGAATTGAACTCCCAACCTCTAGTTTCACAGCCAGAGACCTAAGCCATCCAGCAATATGCCCCAGCCAGACCTATAAGCTTGGATAAGTCTCATTGTAAGCAAATTATTTTCCCTCGGTTGGAAGAAATAACTTAATAACAATTATAATGTCATGTTCCTTTTGTACAGAGGTAGAAGGACATGTTTCATCTCCCAGATGAAAGGGTGCTGAATGCTGCCACAGTCAAACTTGTGGATTAGGTTTTGGGGAGAAATTTAAGGCAGCTATCTTCCAGACTTGCCGTTCAGAGTACAGTGGGGTCTCGACTTACAAACGACCCGACTTGCGAACAGTTCGAGTTACGAACCTGCCCTATAGGGAAAGTAAGGACTCGACATGCGAACTTCCCTCGAGTTATGAACGGGAAAAAGTCCCCCCTCCCTCCCCTTAGAGGCTTCTGGAGGGGGGAAAAGGGTCAGAAACTTAAAAATAAATACTGTACTGTTAAATAAAGTCACTTACCAGGCCTTGGTAGCCCC